CTCTATTGCTCCCAGAGAAAACTACCAAACCTTTCCCAAAGACAAGGATTCATGTTAGAACAAACTGACCCAAGTTAAAGAAAAAAACTGTAACACAAATTAAACCACTTTAACGTCACTGCTGAATGAGAAGCTGTGGGAAAATGAACTAGAGGAGAAATGTAAATTAAGTACATTTCCGCGCCCATCAAACCTACAACACTGTATCTCCCTGTAGAAATAAAAATGGTTAAAAGAAGTATGGTGACAAATGTTTAGTGATAAAACTGCATTTCCTGACCCAAACCGAGTCACCCTTCACAGATTCAGATGTTAAGCCCCTAACTTCAGTTTACTACCACAAACCTTTGGTCTCCACTTCCCTTTTCATAAGCGAGAGGTCTTTGTTAAAATGTACTTTGAAGGATGCCTGGATGCCGTTACAGGCAGCTGTAGCTGGTAGCTTCTGCTAGTCTCCAAATTCAAGTCACTGAACTGGACCTCCCAACTATGATGCTTGTGTATTTTGGCTTGATGTGCGGTTAACTTTACAGTCTGTCCAAGAAGTCTGCTATCAGGATACTAGTTCATTTGATGACTGTTATTGTGTGCTGCTGCAATATAAATAAATTGAACTGGAATGTTGCATAGCACTCCATAACTCTGCGCCTAATAATATGGATGCAGATAGCTGAGCAGCTTTTTGGCCATAGCTCATAACTTATCAATCCAACCTCTCGTCTAAATATGCTGAAGGTTGGCTCTAAAGAATCGACATGGTGATGCTATAATGCTAAAGTTAAAGCTTCAAAACAGGACTTCAACTGCACATACCACATGGTTTTTGTTTTTTTGGTTTGTGAAGTTATCAAACAAAGACACATAAATCTTTATTCATGTCAGTGATGCTCACCTCAAAGTTCTGCTCTATGAGGTTCCCTCCTTTGCTCAGACTCTCCATGATGGCTTTGTTCCTCAAGATGTCCTCCTCGCTCAGATGCTCTCTCCTCTTCCTCGACTCGAGCACCAGGCCGTTCACAGAGTAGAAATCGGCCAGAAAGTTTCCCACGCGCTCCTGGAGATTAATAAACAGTTAGATAAGATCCCCGCCTGCCACAGACTGACCAATTTCCCTTTCAAACAGAAGTCAAAAGGACAAAGGATTGAGAGGGCAAAAAGCAATACTGTCATATTTCAGTCACTAACTCCACACAGATTTGTCTGTGTTGTTTTGAACCCCAATCCTGTCACCTGAGCTCCCTTCCCGGGGTCATCACTGCCTCTCTGATTTATTCACCGCCTTTCCTTCCTGGTGTGGGGCTTACAACAGGAAATATGATATGTCGGCACTGGAATTTGAAATTGCCAATAAATAAAAACGATGAAGCTAAAGAAGAAAAACACCTTTGTTATGAATTAACACCGAATAGTTTACCACCGAACACTGCTCAAATTTCCCCGTCGGCAAAACAAGGCCATCGTCTTATTATTTTAGTAAGGACTCATAAATACACACACTTAACAACATTAGCAAAATCTGTTTATATTTCATGTGTCTGAAACAAAAAAAAGGTTTTGGTATCAGTCCATATATCTGATGATCATCAAATACATGGTCTTAAAATCTCATATCGATCAGGCTTCAGTCCTTTTAAAGGCTGATGTTCTTTTCAGGTCTGTTTCAAAAAACACAAAACAAAAAAAACAGAACAACCTAAAAATGAGATCTTGCAATCAATGTCACGTTACACACGGATATATCTGTGAAACCATAAGTAAAGCTTAATTTCATCAGCTTTCCCATTCATCCCCGCCAACTGAGTTAGAAAGTACAAGAACTGGGTTCAAAAATTGACTACAGTCGTTATGTCTTAAACTTTTAAAAATCCCTGAAGGTCCACAGTCAGAGCAGAGTTTCTAAAAGCTGACAAATGACACCCACCGTCTTGTCTTCCCTGAACAGCCAACCAGTCTGCGCCCTAGAGAACGTGATGGATTTGGTGGACAGTGTGGCCGAGTACACGTCGCTGCTCATCAGAATATCCACTTCTTCTTCTGTTTCCATCTCTGACTCCTTAAAGTGTACAATAAATAAATAAATATAGCACATCATTATGCATCGTGCATAGTGAACACTGAACAGCCACATCCTAGTGTTGGAAACAATGATGTCAGTCGGTTCCTCCAACTCTTTCTGCAGATTGCACAAGATGTTGAACTGTTGTAGTTTCCCAGAGGGTTACATCTGTTAACATTTAGATGCCCTGACCTTTGGTCTAGTGCTGTCATCAGGTCAAATATTCCTGCTAGACATAAGAAATACCAAAATATTAGGAGTGCAACGATGCACAAAATTCACAGTTCGGTTCGATACTTTGGCGTCACCGTTAGATATTTTTTCGATACAAAAAAATGTTCATGCCTTTTTAATTTGTCATTTATTAAAATTATAAATATATATTTTAACTCAAAAGTACAGCTTTTAAATGTAATGTTGCTGAAACAACAAAGTAATAAAAAAAAAAATCTATCTGATGGAGAAATCCCTCATCTTTGGAAAAGAGAGTTTATTACAGAGAAATGTCTCTTTCCAAAATAAAAGCTCTACTATAGCTTCTTCTGGGCTATATTCTCAGCAGCATATTAAACATATCAGGTCCCCATAAGGAGAATCATGTGCTAACGGCTGTCTAAATGGCTCGGGTAAAGTTTGTAGCATGCGTGCTTGTTGTTTTTGTCTGCTTCCACTTGTCTTTGCACTAGGATGATGTTGGAGTAAATGTGCAGTCATATTCGTTGTGTTCCCACTAGTGCTGTCAGCGTTAATATCGTTGAAATGACGTTAACGCCACAACACGGCAAATCTCGTTAACGAGCTACCGCGGATCCCATGCGTGGGGCTGGACGGCATCAACACGTTAACGAGCTAACTGCGCTAACGCACTAGTTCCCACCAATGTAATTGAGCATTGCGTGGCACATCCAACATACTGTTTTACTTTAGTCCATGACGCACTTACCTTCAGGGTCATACGTCACATGAAAACCAAAATAGTTCCAAAGGCCAGATCTGAATGAGGGTGGGGGAGGTTCAATTTGCCATGTTGCAACGAGAGCTTAACTTCTGTCTCGCTAGCTTGCGCTGCGCTCAGTGAATCTGTGTTCGACTACTCCGCCTAGGCTGCACTGTCGAGCGCAGATCCACTGAGCGCTCAACACAGACAGCATCGTCAGAAGTAAAGTTGATAAAATAAATTAAAAATTTTGTATTGTTCATACATATGCGTACCGAACGGTTCAATATCGATACGAGTATTGTTGCACCCCTACAAAATTTGTAGGGACACTGTTATATAATTTACTTAAACACAACTAAACAACTTTAGATTTCCACTGCAGAATCACAAACCTTGCATTTTTCAAATCAATGACAAAACTTTAAATATGCTGCTTTGTTCTTAACAGACATCACAAATTCAAGGGCCACAAGGGTTTCACACACCTCGTGGTGTATCCGCTGGTAGACTTTCTGTTCATTATCCAGCACAACAAAAGACTCTGAGGGAACAGCATTGCCGTTAAAGATGAAACTGAGGTCACCCCGCTGGCATTTCATGTCAGTGAAGTCTATCAGGGTTGTATCCAGTCTGCACAAACACATCGTGAACATACACAGAGGAGACAAAAATGAGGATTATTGTGAGCTCAAGTTAACTTTTCAGGCCAGCAGCACAACAGTGTCAAAACTGTGAGCGAAGACAAAACTGTGCTCGATGTTACACTTTTGAAAGGTCTGAGACAATGTGTATGGTAATCACCGCCACGGGAGTCCAACAGCACTTTTCAAAATTTTCTTTGTGTTGTCAGAGCGGGTAGTCCTGAAATAAAGCGTGACGGCAAAGAGAATAAGCGATCTGCTTGTGAAGAATGCGCACAAAGCGGTAGGTGCTACGGGTAGGTATGATAGGCCTGACACGCCGTGGAGCTGGTATGTAAATGAACGTGCTGTGACAGTTTTTTTCCTTTCACGCGCTCCGTCTCTCGCTCTCCCTTTTTCTCCCTACAACTTTGGCATAATAAGAGGGCATTTTGAATACCAAATTAGACAGCCAGGAGCGGTTTTACAGAATAATGACAAGCTCCACATCAAGGTTACCTCATAAGGAAGAGTGAAGACGCACGCACACACACATTTGGGTTTATATCAACACAATCTATTTGATTGTGTTGATATAAACCCAAATGTAGAGGCAAAGGTTTACGTGCGTGATAAAGGGGGCAGGATTTGTCATATATGTATGAAAAGCTATGTGCATATGCTGTAAATGTGGAAGCCAGCCCTCAAGCCTGCATAGCGTTAGATTTTTGGAGCACAGCGGCATATATTCCTACTGTAGATTCACTGTTGAGACTGTGTCAGCATGTGTCACGGTGTGATGAATTTCTGCTGATGCTCTTTGTAAGTGAGCTACTCAGCACAGTAGACTGTACAGTAGCTTCATCTATGAGACTGTGATTTAAAGCGAAACGCAGAAGGAAGAGTTGTGCGCACAGAGGGATCGCTGTTCGGCTTCCTCGTACTGCTCATACTGCAGCCGCTGATTTCACACTCTAGTTAACAAAACTGAGAAACTGGAAGTAGAGAAAAGAAAGACGAGAGGATGCTGTGTACAGCAGCAGTTACAAATAAATCAGCAACAAAAACAACAAACAAACAAACAACACGAAGAACAGGCTTTCTCTGGGAAATGTTTAATAAGGCAGGGCTCGCATCTTCTGGTTTACTTTAACAAGCAGCTTGAGAAGTGACTCTTAGTTTTGAAATGTCAGAATGCTATTTAAATGAACATTTGTTGACAGGACTCGCCTGATGTTGATGCCTTGTTTGTAGATCTTGCAGGCATCTGAAGGCAGGATTCTGGAGAGCAAAGGCACTGCAACATGAAAAGATACAGTAAGGGTGTGTAAAACATCTAAATTTAGAAAGCACATTTGAGGAGAAAAACTGCAGATTTCAAAGCTTTGGTGGCATATAAACCTGGAAACTAGAGTGCCACATACCAGAAGTAGTTCAACAGCTAAATATTTAATAACTCACAGTCCCTATCGTATTAAGTAACTGAAGGCATGATACTATACTTGCTGCTCCAAAGTACAGAAGAATAGTTGCGCATTAAAAAAACAACAGAAAATAAAGACAAGTCAATAAGCAAGATGTGCATCTGATACAAGTCTGTTGTTCTCCGAGCACAAACCTTAAAAATATAATTTTCACATTAACTTTCACTATTACACCGTCTCAACTGGCAAAAATATATCCTTATGTAACTATTTTACATTTTGTTACCATCACGTGTGTATTACACAACCATATTCACCTTGTCAATAATTCACAAAGACACACTGAGTACACAGAAATCAGCCCAGGCCTACAGTCCTGGGTTTGGTCTGCAAGCTAAGCAAATGCTGATGCTTGAGCTCTATCGCCACACACTGTGCTCCATCTGTGAGGTCCGCTGTTATGATGTTTTACCTGATGAATCTACATGTATTAGATCATTAAAGGTGAGACATCCATGTTAAAGGATGGCGTATTGGCTCATTTCAAACAGGCACTGTCATTTTCAGCGTGACGTCACTCAAAGTCCCTCATGACACACGGTAATCCATCGGTAACCACGTGAACACTAAGTCTGTTCTTCTCCCTCAGATTCCTTCATGTTCGTTTTTCAGAACGATGACATGTGATTCATTTCCACAGTGGATCAAATCTGAGAAACTGTCAAAGGAGAGCAGACAGAGAAACTCGACTCACCCCAACTTTGGAAGTCCCAGTGAAGCTCCAAGTAAAAGTCTCCGAGCTGTGAACACAGATAAAGAAAAATCAATAAGGAGTAAGGCTACGTGTTTCTACTGCTGATTATTTTTCCACAGAAAGGCCGGAAACCCACAATGTCGGAGTCTGTCTCCCAACACTCTCCAACTTCCCTCTCTGTGCCTCGCAGCCACCAGATTGAAAATAAATAAATAAATAATTAAAAATACTCAGAAATAAATAGTACTCCTACTGAGTTACACCACGAGGTCGATGGTTTTGATAATGACAGAACAATTCACCCACAGTAACAATAGTGACATAGCGAGCTCTATGCAACAGAAAAATTAATGAAACCACAGACTTGGACACCAGATTTGGTTTTATTTAATGAGATTATAAAAGTAGCAAGCCAGTGTTTCACTTTACATGAAAGTATAACTGAGCCTCTGCTTCTTTACATAGCAAATCCCACCTCAGTACAGTCTAATTATCTTGTAAGGCTTGGATCACCGCTACGATCGGTGGTCTCAATCCACACGTCAGTAATGATGTCAGGCTGGCCGAGGACCATCACTTCCCAGAGCTTTATAATCTCAGAGAGATGATGACTCAAGAAAATCGCCGGTCTCATCATTTCAGGGAAAATACAGCCTCCGAGGTCTGTCAAGTACTCGAGACTTTAAAACTTTTACAGTGAGGGAGGAAGGTCAGGTGAAGTGGTAAAACCTCTTTAAACACGATAAAACGCTGAGTTTTATTTGCTCGTGTCCTGTTCTTGATCTCCTCAGCATTACTGCACAGCTGACCTCGAGGCCAAAATCTCTAAATGATTAATGCCTACAGTTTGGCTACATAACTTCATGTTTAGCAATAACACCACAACAACATTGGAAAAGGTTCTTACTCTGATAAACATGTAAGCCAGTCTGTGTATGTCTAAACATTTACAGAATGTATCTAAAAGTGCTATAAAAAGGCACAAGAGACCAACAAAGGTAAAGGGATCATTTCACCCTGATCAACATGTCTGTGACTAGTTACATGTTTACAGTTTGTACATATGATGTCATACCACGCGGTCACAAGAGCATCACGATCTTCCACTCGCACCGTCTGATAATTTGCATGTATGCGTCCTTCCTGGCTCATTGCAATGACAGTAATTTGTGAATGACAAACTTGAATGAGGTGTGCTAAGGCTGTGCTTGCAGAATAGATCCCAGTGAAAGGAAAAAAACAGGACAGAATTGATGAGAGCACACTGAGAGGTAAAAAGATCTGATGACCATAAAACAAGATATCCCATCTAAGGGTCAGGAGCAGCAAGGACGATCAGAGACATTATAAAAGAGAGAAATGGTAGTCAAAAAATCCTGTGGTTTAATGGACACAAATGCAGAGCAGAGACTCACTGCAATTTCATCTGTGTAGTGGCAGGCATATCTACTTGTTACAATAAAAAGGGCTGGTTTTATTGGTTTACTGAATTAATTAGCATGACATTAGTGCTCCGGTGAGAGTCATCGATGGTGTCAGCACTCTGGAATTAGCCATTATGAAGCTGTAGAAGTATAACTTGAAGGTAAAAAGACTTTTTAAAACTTAATTTGAGCAAACATATTTTTTTAATAGTCCATTGAGCATTTAAAATAAAGTTACGGCTCCAACTCAGTTCGTTCAGGGCAGAGGCTTCAAAATAGCGGCCAAAAAACAAAAAACCTGCCAAAGCTGGGTGCAGAGTGGCAAAACTGGCTTCTAGCAGGACTTTAGGACTACGTTACCTCTTTGAGGGCTTTCAGCAGTTTGGGCCTCTTGTCCTCCACGCTCTCCCTGGACTGTTGCTTCAGCTTCCTCAGCAGTGCTGTGACTGAGAGCGCACAGAAACATGAGCAGAAAAACAGATGAGAAAAAGTGATACACCAGCTTTTTCTATACAAAAACATATCAAAGTTTAATTTAAGGTTATTGGATGGCACATTATTTTTTGCCATGAATATTTTTTTATAACCCTCTGTTTTACTGGATCTGATCCCACTGCTAAACTTAATAAATATTCTACTGTGAGTTGATGAACCATGTTAAAAAAAAAAAAAAAGTTTAATAACTGTGTTTTGGCAAATTTGACCATTTTCTCCACACGCCCTGAAAGACAGGCTGTCCTTAATCATGATTACTTGAACATTTCTAAAATTAAGGGTGCTGGGCTTCACTTCCATATGGGCATCTTTCAAGACAATCTGAGTGCCTTGCAGAACATCGTCAGTTTTATTTTAAATTACAGGTGGTGATCAGACTGACAGATACTGTGCTTCTTTCATGCCCAAAAATATCATACCATCTGTTTTTATGCTGCACAGCAAAGGGCAGACCTGCAATATTGGTAAGGTTAAAGTTTAGGGCAAGACGTTTTTAACGTACAGGAAATACTGTGTGCTTAACGGTTTCTCTAAGCGAATCGTGTCAACAATGGGAAAAAAAAGTGCTACAGGCTACAGCAATTTTTACTGAGATTTACCAGCTTCCTGGAGCCAAATGGGGCACTCCCAGCATCATCCAACCAACCCTGATGCATAGCCTGCAGGGATCAAACCGTTACAGGAAGTTCAAAGGGAGCAGCAATGGCAGATACAGAGCTGCCTGTTAATGAGCAACTCCTTTAACCTCCTTAACGAACTAGGGGAGAGGAACGCTCACAGGGGGCTTTTAGCCATGACGGGTCACATTAACAAGCGTTCTGCAGCACTGGCTGCAGGAGACTTGTGCAAAAGAAAACGGTTCCACGCAAATTTACAACTATTTAGATGTTATGTGATGCTTATTAGGGAGTGGGAGCATCAGTTGCTCACTGACATAACTGTGGTGCTTTTGACGAAGCCATGAAGGGAATAAATGACAACAACTATTCCAGTGATTAAGTCATGGAAACAGTTATGAAAAAAAAAGGGGGGGGGGAATATGTTTGGCCACTGAGAACCCGCCCGTCCTACATTTTAATAGGACTAAAAGCAGCAGTGCCCATATGGCATAGTCATCAGCCTGACCATCTCCTGTGCCCTCCTCCATGTCCACGTGGCGAGTCAACATACACAAACGTGTTGTTCATATTGTCTAACTGGTGCTCCCCATGCAGCAGCACAGAGGGGCAGAGGACTCGACGGTAAAACTAGGCCAAATGAGAGCACAGGAACGCACATGCGCCAGCCGGCACAGACACAACTACAGGATGAGGGTGTCTTTGTGGCCTGGCTGCCTAATGAGTGTAGACAAGCTCTGGATGGGGCTCCTCCTGATCCTCACCGCCTCGCAGCAGGACAAGGAAGGGAGTAAAATCTCACCATCTGGTCACAGACCACCCAGCCAACACAGACTGAGAAACCGATGCGGGCCGTTTCGACACTAAACCCAACTGACTCTCCACGCTGGCACTAATTCACCGAGATACTGATCGGGGCACTTTGCTGGCGCTAATTAGTCGAGTGATCTCAGCAGTTTCACCTCCACACTAATAAAAAGAGACAGAGTCAAGACAAAAACTTGCTTTTACATTACCACAAAGGGCAACTATTTAACAAGATATGCAGGTGGACGGCTGCTGCTGGCAGGTCTCCAAGAGTGTGGGAAAAGTTCAAAGTGACACAGGCCAGAATATTAAATGGATGCGAAAACTCGCCGAGGTCGACAAATTTTGCAGCTAACTCAAACGGCCGAGTTAACTGAAGATGACATATCACATGCAGGGAGCTTGATTCAATTTAGTTTCATTTAAACGCTCTGAATCTTATCAGGAAAATGTAATTTTTAGACATAACAAATAATTACAAGCTGAAACAGAACTCCGTTGTTCTTTATCCCTGTAGCCTGTGCTGTCATATTTTTATATGCACAATAATTTTGCTCTACATTAATTTGTCAGTGAGGTTATAGTGAGGCTATAAAGAAACCTTTGTTTGCAAATAAATGTAGAAAAATTCACTAGTTACAAGCTAAAATCAAACCATGGTAGCTTTTAATTAATAAATAAGAAAATTAAATTTAAGAATTCGTGTGGTTTGCTATGGCCTTAATAAAAAAACAAAAACAACTTTTCTTCCTTCTAATGCCACACATATCACCCGAAAAAGCAAAATATAAAATATCATTCAGTCAATCAAGATAATAATATTCAGAAATAAAAATCTATCCAGCTGAAAATGTTCAAATATGCTGGTGATAGTTAGAGGTGGGAATCACCATACATCCCACGATACAATAATATTGTAATTTTTAAAAATATTTTGTGATATTCAGATTCTGTACATAAAGGTAAACTTTATCAATATTCATTTTATCTAATAACAAAGTTTCACACTCAGTCTTTCTCTCATTTCAGTTTTATTGTTGACAAACTGAACGGTTTGTATTACAGTCTAGTCCAACTTAACTGAATCAACCATCTGGTACAATTATAGCTATTCTGAACTATGCAGTTTATGAAAACTATGCAGCCCCTCCAGCAACTGAAGAATTTGAAAGTAAATTAAAACAAAATACAATTTTACATTAAATAAAAAAGTTTTAAACTTAATTAAAATAAAACATGTCTTAAATTAAAATAAGTAAACTGTCATGTTTATTGCTGCCAAAAAAAGTTAAACACATTTGGACAGTGAAGGAATGTCAGGATTCTTGCTCTGAAGTCAGAGCATGTTCCAGTCCACAGAAACTTTTTTTGTAACAAAATATCGATTTCTGCTGTCCCTGTATCGATACATTATTAGCAAACAAAATATTACGATACTACACAGTATCGATTTTTTCCCCCACCCCTAGTGATAGTGTTGCTGTTGGTGTCTTTACTTTTATAGGAATTCTAACCCTGACTCTTCTGCACAGGTTGGAGGAGTAATATAAATCTCCTCATTTGTTACTGAATGCTGCCTTGTTTTGATTCACACATGCACTATAACAGGTCTTTCAGGTCAGTCTGAGGAAATCGTTAATAGCATATACTGCAACATATACTGATAAGAAGATGAATTTTATGGATAATGATGATTCTATCTTCAAGAAAGCCAGTTAGTGATTATTTGTTAGAAAGAAGGGAGGAGCCTTTGTATTTAGCCAAAACATTCTGGAAAGATTTCATAATGTTCACTATATCAGTCTGGTATGGTAACCTGACTGTGGAAAGAGAAAGACAAATGAACGTCAGAGCAATGGGAGAATCAAAAAATAAATAAAAAAATCATTGGTCGAGAACAAATCTAATGAGATAAGCTCTTCCGTCTTAAGGAAAACCCGGTCATTGTTAATTTTATTCTGATGTTGAACTTATGCCCTCAGGGTGATTTAATAGTCAGGGATTATTTCAGCCAAAAGCAATTAGTATACAGAAAAACAAGACGCTGTGATGTATTTCTATTCTGTATGTATGAATGCTGCTGATTGTTGGCACTATTTCTATTATGAAGTGATCTTGTGTATGTATGACTTGATGAATCATGAGTTATTCTAATTCTAATCTATTCTAATGCCTTAATCATGGATATTTATAAATGACTCTATAAATTTTGACTACAGGAAGAAACCATGTGAGAAAAATCTCAACTCAAGCTTATTACAAAGACACAGAGAGAGAAAAGGATCTTCTTAAGCCAAACTTCTTCAACTTAAACTTTTCTTGCCAAGTCTGGTTGTTTATTCAGGCTAGTGAGACCATTACTGCCTGACACCCACATGAAAAAGCAGCTCCCTGCCTCACATACAGTAATATGACTGAAACTCTCTTTGAACAAGTCCCTGAAGCTGACAACACAGCTGTGTGGCAGAGAGGCGAGCGAGGACTGAAATAGCTCTTTCTGAACCAAACACATGACAAAAACTATTTCTGAGCCGCATTTTGTCTCCTCGTTCAAACGGAAAGCTACACACCCGGCTAACAAACGCACTGTGTCGCAACAACCGCACAACGGACGTCAACAGTAAATTGTCACTTCTTCAACTAAAAACAACAATTAATCACATTCAACCAAATGTTTCCTTAGAAAAGAAAGAATTTATGTAATACAACCTGTGAAAAACTACTAAAAACCAGATTTCAGAAAGAAAATGTTATCCTGTTCTCAGCACTATCCAGACCTTGATGTTTGCCTCACTGCAAAACAAACAAAAGTTCCCAGGTCTCCACTTCCTTCTCCAAGTCCTGACAAACGCTGAGTCAGCTCACACTGAACAGAGCTTTGCTAAGCCTGTGAAAAACATTTATTGCACTGTGCAGAGAAAAAAAATTGTAGGTTCCCTTCAGCACCTTTCTCCTCTATATCATCATGACAGCCAAGTAAAGTTTTAGATATCACATTCCAAGTGGGAATTTTCTTTTAAATATATATTTTTATTGTGTGTGGAGTCAGCTTTTTGTAGCTGTCACAGCAGTGGCCAATGCCCTGCACTCTTGGATTCGCATTAAAAGACCTCAGGCAGGCAGAGTTAAACAGTCCTCTGTGCCTACGTGTTTTTGATTCAGCGTGAAAGAAGCTGAAGTCTCTCTCGGCCCTCCGAGCCTGTCAGTTGATTCAGGTGATCAGCACGCTGACCTGACCCAGGAGTTTAAAATCCTGCCGAGTTTTGTGTTTCCCTGAGTGCCATTCTATAGAGAGTTGGACTAAAGCCTCGCTGCACGTGTACAGGGGAAATGAATGTTAGCTGCACCAGCAGGAAAAAAAAAAAGGAGCAGAGAATAGAGAGCTACACCTTTCTTTAAAACCTTACTGCAACATGTACCTGCACGGTCACCTGCACAAGAAACCTGCCAGCTGTAAGATGAAATGTCATTAGAGTTCATTAGAGGTTTCAGTCAACACAAATACTTTGAGTCAGTTCATTAGAGGAAGCAGTCGATGGAGGAACTTAAAGCTGCTTCCGTTTATGACGTAACATTGGTGCGAAGTGGCTGTGTGGATACATGAATGAAAGAGCAAGCTCTTTCATTCATGTATCCACATGTACTAGGTTAGCAAAGTCATTTTTTAACTGGAACTTATTAACTTATATGTAAAATCCGATTGCTGTACTTGAGATGTTCCAATAGCTGAGAATGAAGTGGGCCAATCAGCACCTAACCTGGTAGTTCTGTAGCAGTAGTGAAGGGTTGTAAAATAGTTTTAATGCATTCACCACAGCTACAGACCCCACCACAGTTACAAACCTCAAGCCTTCCTGTTTCTGCCATCAAAAGCTCTAAATAGACTGCAGGTGAAATTCACTAGCAGAGCACTACTAGCAAAACTGTAATAGCTGTCGTTCAATCCATTCTCCCTCAGTCATTACAAAAAAATCTAACGTGACTTTTTGTACAGTGCCGCAGGTACTCGTGACAGTGAAATAATACAAAACACTCTCACTGTTTCAAAACAAACTTTTGGGCCATTATGAAACGTGGGACAAAAACACGTGTGATATGGGCTTGAGCATAATCAGCCTATCAGGACTGAGGGAAATATCTAATGAATTGCTTTTCACTGGAATACAAAAGCCAGAGGGCCTTGAGGAATGCCCCCCTCTGAGGGACAAAAGAGCCAGGCCGGTGTGGTGGCCTCACTGCGAGGCGGCCGCGTGGAAGAATGTGCAGAGGCGTTTGTTGATTTGTATCTGTTGATGAAAACTTCTCTCTCTCGCCTTCTCCCACTGGTGCAAGCCTGATGCCTCGCTTTAGTAAACGAGTTCACTGACCAACATCGGTTTCAAACCTCTGCGTGAGTGTTTTATCGAGCAATGCCAGAGATACTTACTCATCTGTCGGTCTCCGTAGCTAATGGCCTCGGCGAGGGGGCTCCATCCCTGAGCGTTCTTCACCTTCACTGGTGCATTGTGGGCCAGCAGCAGATGGGCACACTCTGCAAGGAGGACAGTTAATCACTAAACACCAAAAGACAAACAGAAGGACAAACTGAAAACCCAAAAAGCCATAAGGAATGTGCCTAACACACGACTCACGAGCAGTACCACAGACCTAATAGTTTTCAGTTTGGCATCTTGAATTGACAACAGGCTGAAGGATGATTTCCTGACCAGAAATAATCTGAAAATGTGACAGCACCCAAACTTCATAGTCATAGATATTAGGAAATTAATGTTCCAGTAACTAATGATAAAAATACACAGAAGTAAAAGGTGCTTTGGGGTATGTTTTGTTTTTTTATTTGTCTTCATTTGACATCCGATTAATATGAAGCAAACACATAATACAATATATGCTGAAAACAAAACAATAAAAACTTTTTAAAAAAACTACATTGATATTTTTTATGGTGACTGCTTAATACACAGAAGAAAAACCCTGCGTCCAGCTCTAATCATGTGTTCGATTTTCAAACCACAGAGGAACCAAACAAAAATGAGATGCAAAGTTAAACAGCTTTACTTCTCCTGCTCTGCAAGTTTTATCTGATGTGTTTACTTCAAACTGACTACTCTGCTGTACAGGTGTCATCTGTTACATAGAGCACATTACTCACAATGTATCCAGGGTGTCCAGAGGGCTAGTTTGTGTATAGAACTTTAACCAAAAAGCCATATGGGACCTACAATTATGCAAGACTTGGAATCTTTCCCTTTTTTTTATCCTGCATTGCTTTAAATTAACGAAGGATTCTTAGAAACTAAATTTTGAGCAATAGGAAAAGACATCCCTTGGTACTATGTAGTCACCCTCCGAGCGGTGCTTGAATTCTAACACCTGGAAAACAGCCAAAGAGCTTCGTCTCTTTTCTATGGTGAGATCAGCAGTAAGTGCAGCACAAAATCCCTCCGCTCTCCGGGCAGCGTGTCAACAAACTACAGCCAACCAAAACTGAAGCCTGTTGTTCCGGCTCAGCTGTCAGTTTTGTTGTGACATCACTCATTATAATGTTGGCATCTGTACAGCTCTGTCCCAGCACTGGCCCGAAAAAGTCACAGTCCTACAAATGCCAAGCAGGGGCTAAGTGCTAATGGTCCGCTGCTGAATGCATACGTGGGGCCTTTGCTTGTTGGAGCCGGAAGTTATATTTGCTCGACCGGTCTTTTTAGTCATGGGTGTATCACGTGAACTCATTCAAATCCTCCTGACTTGTTATTATCTATGCAGAAAAACAACTATCAAATACATCACAAAACCACATGCACCATATATATACTCCCCATGTTTCATTAATGAGAACGAGGGTAACACAAAGTCTTAATGACGGCGGGCAATACAATCTGAAACGCTTCCTTATTAGACGCATTAACCACACAACAAAGACAAGCACGTCTCTCCCAGGAGTGTAGTTACAGAAATAAAAAGGGCAAGATGTGACATCAACCAGTTCAAACAGTTACGTTCTCCTCATAAGCAATTAACAGCAACACCAGTTGTGTATAGTACAGCAGACATCAAGATGGGAGCATGGCAAAGAAAATCGAGATGAACACAGACGCGGCGCTGGGAAGTCATTATGGTCACACCAGTGATGCAGAGTTTCAAAGACTTGGCTCGTTGCTGGCTTTAATGGATTTTCTTGGTAAATTTCTGCTTGATGCTGAACGCTGTCCAAAAGCTGACCACTTCAAAAAGATTGACTAATACTGTTCATATCGCATGCTTGAATTAATTAAAATAGCTGCATTGGTAACAGGAAGATAGCTGAAAAGTGAGTGAATAACGCAACATTACAGCAAACCCCAGTCTTTACATATTAGTTCAAACTGTCACTCAGCTCCGGGACTCAGCCGCTGATGACAGAAGTTGATATGGAGGCAACACAGGCAAACAAACGGACAAGAGCATGCTTTCTGATGTAAGCTTTGCATTTCCTCAAGGCTTTGACCTATATATCCCTCTGCTAAATCCAACGATTGTGTAATGATAACGACAACATTTAGCAGACATGCATTATATAACCACGAGGAGAACAGCCAGGCCGTGCGTCCTGAGCCCCACACCTTCAAGCTTCTGGTCTGAGTTTTGTGTTTCAGATGCAATAAGCAGTGTATAGTGCGGCATCATGGATACACTTTTGTTTTAAAGGCACACAACACTTGAGTTCTACGCCTTGTTTATGATGTGAATTAAATGCAGAAACTAAGTTAATCGCCTCGCACTTTAAGATAAAAATTACAAACAGTTGCTATTTGAGGATCGACTGATACATTTCCATTACCTGTGAGGTAAGCGGGACATCACAGCACAATTGTAGCTACATCATGTTGAGATAATGAAGGCTTTTTGTATCAAATGTGATGGGATACAACACTAACAGCAAAGACACGTGGCTGTTCCACTGACTAAAGTGTTTGTTTAAACTTGAACATCCAGGCAAACATTTGTAATTCCAGGTTCAAGCACTTGTCTCCTGTTTGCTCTTATTGGTGGAATAATAGCATTTGTGACGCATTCAAGTTGTTACCAACAGTTAAGTATGATATGAGTTATGATATTGAGCCATGGCTGTAGATGAAATGGCTTCAAACAGCAGCAAATGAGGATCGGTTTAAAAGCAGGTCAGGGTGAAGGTGGCATGTGCCTGTGTGTGCCAGGCCACCATTTGGTTTCAAGGACAGTTTCATAATCAACCATCAAACATTTTCTCAGAAAGACACACACAGCAACATGGCAGCTACATCCACAGAGGCACTTTCAGAGATATCAAAGACTTGCATTTCTCTCAGGAATAAGTAACAAGTCAAACTTTTGGAACAGCCGAGAGTTCTGTTTTCTTATCGTAACAAAGTAACATGCAGGACCTTTTTAGTCGATTTACACATTATCATGGACATGGTGCTCAGGTGGAGACAAACAGATACTTTATCTTTCACTGGTCACTACAGAGTCAAGGACACAGACATACACACCCACACACCTTTTTTATTTCCTTTGGCTCTCTCCAAAAGTATCTTACCTGATAATTCTGTGACCTGAACATCAGATTTTTCCACGAGATTCCTAACAAATTACATTTTAATACAATAATGTTTTGATTAGTATTTAGTTATTAGAAGTAGTTTAACTAAATTACTCAAATAAATCAGTTATGCTTTGTTTTCTGTCCATCATTCAAGAATTTTCACTTCTGAATTCATTTTTATCAGAGTGTCCAGAAACTCTCCGAAAAGCCTGCAGTTGATCCAAAATGCTGCAGCAGACTAGAAAGAGAGAGGATATTTGACCCATACGGCTTCTCTTCATAGGCTCCCTCTTAAATCCAGAATCAAATTTAAAATCCTTCTCACAAGATACAAGGTCCTGAATAATCAGGCCCCATCCTATCTTAAAAACCTCACAGCACCATACCCACCCAATCATGCACTTTGCTCAAAGACTGCTAGTTTATTTGGTTGGTGGTTCCTGGGATATTTAAAAGCAGGCCCCTCTCAAATGGTAAACTGAGCACAAAGCGCTTTATACAACTTACCTTATTCACCCACTCATACAAGCACTTTTTTTCTATGCTTTTTCAATGTAAGTGCTTTCTAACATTCACAAATATTCATACTCCGATTAATGCATTGGAGTTAGTATCTTGTCCAAGGATATTTGGTATGCAGCCAAGGATCAAACCACCAACCTTCCGATTAGCAGATGACCTGCTAGCTCCCCTAAGCTACAGCCTCTCCTGTGGAAGCATCTCCCAGTTCGGATTAAAGACAGAAACTTTCTCTACTTTTAAGATTAGGCTTAAAACTTTCCTTTTTTGATAAAGCGTAGAGTTAGGACTGGATCAGTTGACCCTGAATCCTCCCTTAGTTATGCTGCAATAGGCCTAGGGTGCTGTGGGCTTTCCATGATGGCCGTTTCTTCTTCACTCACTATGAGCTTACACACACCATTTTGCATTTCATCCTTAGTTATTGTGAATCTCATCCACAGTGTGTTTTTGTCCTCCCTTCCTCCCATCACTCCCAACCTACTGGTTCTGCTGGAGGGTTCTTCCCGTTTCTTCTTCCCACTGTCGCCAAGTACTTGCTCAAAAGAGGTTGTTTTCTGTGTATTACAGTCTCTACCTTGGAATATAAGAGCATCTTGAGGTGACTGCTGTGGTAATTTGGCGCTATATAAATAAAATGAAATTGAATTTTATATAACCATGATCAAATCATGACAAATTTGGGATCACTTATCCCAATTTGGGCGGCATAGCTTCTATACAAAATGGCTATAATGTACTGCTGTGTGTATTCAGTGTTTTAAATATAAACAAAGTTCGCCAACTGGATAAAATGACATTTAGGCTGCTTGTTATTAGCCACCGTTTGCCGTCTTGTTCGATCTAATATGCACTTGTGTGAGCACTGATAAAGGAAAACTCCCTGTGGGCTGCTGGGCTGATTGCACGTGTATCAGCTGCAAAGACGTCCTGCTTGAGTCGCATTTAACTCATGAGTAAGGGAGCAGGATGGTGATGTAAAGCACTTATCTAATGCTACTTGCTGTGCACTGGCTACAGATGGGGCTTCTGTCGACAGGATCTGATTGCTGTTAAAGCTCCCTACCTTCACCCTACAGTTTTGACTAAGTCTGAGTACATTTTAAATGTTAATCTGGCTTTTTTTAACCATTATTTACACACTCAGCAACATTTGCATTAGTGGATTTGAGTCAAACAGGAAATTTTCTTTTCCTGTTTGACTCAAATGCACTATTTTAATCAAAATCTTAAAATGTGCATGTGTGTGCCACTTTAGAGTATATTTTTCCAGCCAGGGTGGCCCGCTAATGTCAAACACTCACTGGAACTGTATCTTTCAAAGCCATTTTTAGAATCTCACCATTTTATCTTTCATTCACACCCATTGGACAAATGAAACAAAAAAAGAAAGAAACAAACAAACAAAAAAGAAACAAGAGTTTTCTTTCAAGGCACGTGACAGGAAGCAGAATCCAGACAAACTTACTCCTCTGACAATGATGTCAGCTTTCAGGACTGCATTATGCTCTGCTTTGGATTTTCTTCGTCTTTTACGTTAGATATTCCACCTGTGCAACTATTCCGGTCATGCAAACGATCAGACAGCAGACTGCTGATATGCACAACTGTCATTACCACAATGGCGGACATATATGCAGAAAAGCCAGAAACAAAGAGAGCCTTGTCCTCTGCATCCCAACAGGCCGGCCACACCCAGGCTGTGATCTCATGCTGTAGCCTTCAGCCCGTCTGGCCTGAGCATCCCTAGAGGACCAGGCAGCAGCTCAGGCAAGAGACAGGCAACCTCATTAGTAAAATCAATTCCATGGTGTCCCGTCCACGACAACACTTCGGTACTCTGCTATCTGAATTACCCGTAGGTAGTGGCAGAGCCATCACACTGACAGAAATTGAGCTGTGCGAATGTGAAATCAATCGAAACCCGTGCTTCAGTGACAAACACCACAAATGACAATGTGCAGCACGGGTAACCCTATGCCTGAATGGCTGATCAGGAGCTGACTGCAAAAAAGGCTAAATTAATTTTTCAGAAGCATGTTCTGATGTTTCCTTGTCATATTAAAATGCAGGCATTGAGTCTCGAAGGGACAGCGTTTTAATGTTTTATGTGGATGCTTTCAGTCCAGCCAGAGCAATTCATTCTAAAAACAAACTCATGTAAGATTCCTACATTGCCTTGATACATCATGACATATTCATTATATACTCTGAACTCACAGTTATTCTAAGACGCCCAGATCTCACTAATGTGCAATTTGTTATATGTTCAACATTCTGAGATAATCCACATTGTTGTAGCCTCTGAAACACGTTCACCTCTTTTTCACAAGCCAATTCGAACCGATCACAAAACCAAAGTAACCTCTTTGGTGCGAGAGACACTGGCAGGTAACTAAAAATAACAGACTAAGCAAATATTATAGGCACTGAAAATTACATCGCTTATCTCAACTAATTACCTCCTGTGCCAGCGTCAAAGTTAAAGTCTTTCGAGCCGGCAGTGTTACATCAATCAGAATGAGACTTTAACTACTGAGAGAGGCCTAATTCTTGCACTATCATCATTATCCAGTACTCACTGATTAAATATGATCTGATAATCCTTTGTGAATCTATAAAGTTGGGGAGAAAAGAAAAATCGCTCTTAACAGATAAAGAAGGAAAGGTCTCTTGTTCCATCATGATTTTGACCAGGAGAAAATCCATTAACACAACCTCTTTATTCATGCATGAGCATCTTGCCTTCTGGGATCTATGTGGTGATCTGTGACAAATGTCTGGTGGTGCTTAGCCTGGCAAATGCACACACAAAGGGAGGGAAATAAACTGAAACACACACAAACAAAAGATGCACGGGCCTACAGAGAGGCGTGTTTAAAAAGCCACGGAGACGGAGACAAGGAGAGAAACCAAAATAAAGCATGTGGAGGTGAATTTTTCAACACTACTCACCTTTATGTCCCATCATGACAGCAAGATGCAGCGGTGTGTTTCCTGAAGAAAGGGGAAAAAAACAGAATTTGTGTACTGCATTTAAGAAAAACAAAAACAAGCGAGAGACTTCGAAGAGCATTTTGCCTTTAGGGCTGTCACAGCTGGAGTGAATTAGATGTTTAATCTGGGAGGCAGCCTTTGCTAAACTCCAAATGATATGGTAAGTCTGTGCTTGCTGTGCCTTCTCCTACCATGACGGCAATACCACTGATTACTACCCAACTGCACCACAAAGCAAGCTACATTTCAGAGGCAGGCACATGGCCTGCTAACAGACACAATGTATGTGTTACATGGTAATCATTCAAGCGAGAAATGATATTTTTGGCAGGTGTGCAAAAGCCTCTACCTACTATCTGGCCAAACTGTAGGACCAGCTCCTTCAGGCTTTCCCTTACAGAGGAAGACGGAGGTAGGCACGCATCCAAAAACAACGTGGGGTAAATATGGGGAAATGTGCCAAAGCTGGGGTTCAGCTAAAAATCACAAGGGACGCTGTGATGAACAGCAGAAAGATTTGTTTTCTGTGTATATGAGGATGTGAGGTCTGAGTTCACTTACAGCCACCACTGGTGGCACCTTTCCATGTAGACAGCTTCAAATAAACCACTGATATTTTTTAAAGCACCAATACAAAGTCAGCTGATGTAAATTAAGTTTAATCTGTAAACAAGCTGCATTTTAACTTGTTAACAATGCAGTGTTACGAAATTATTGTCTGGATTCACTGGGACTATTTCCTCCCTCCCACAAGCAAGTGGAAAACAATTGTTTAAAAGGTATTTCTTTAAGCAACAAGTTTTCTGGGAAAAAAAATCATAACAAAACAGCAAAGTGAATGGATGAAATATAACAGTGTTAATAAACATATGAAACAAAGCCTGCCTTACTTCAGTGATTTGATGGTCCAGCTTCAACTTATATCCACTAGAAGCTAAAAATGTATGGGAATAAAGCCACGAATTCAAGATACTGAGCCCAGGTAACCATCAACCGAGAAGGCAAAAAGGCTTAACAAGTTCAGATTCTTCAGCATCACCAGAGTAAATGCCCTCCCCTTCTGCTACGTTGTTTCATTACAGCATGTCAGTGTTTTGAGGACAGAACACATTCCAGAGCTGACAGTAAGCACAGCCCATCCTTTTTTCTTTACATGCGAACCGGAACAAACCGTCGCTGTAGATCTGTCAGTTAAGAATGCGTTGATTTGGAAAATGTGGCGTTATCTGAACAGACTTTGCCCTGCAGATGAGTTGCAGTCAAGTCTGGGAATCCCAAAGTTTCGCACAACACGCCTTGATGCGTTAGCCATAGGGCCCTGAACCAACTTATCATCCAGTGTTTAAAGATGACTCGTGTCACAAGGAATATGTGATAAATTTGAAATGTGGACTGTAATGCCGCTGGGACCTTTCCTTATGCAGGCTTGAAAGAAGTGAATTTGAAGAAATTACAGGGTATTGACATTAAACTGCTCCTCAATTTGGACATCAGTTATCTGGGCCTTGGCAAGAAGAAACCTCGCCTACATCTAATGCTGCCGGAGAATGATGGCCTATTAGCTAAAACTAAGCTTCACTGGACCTTGAAATTGGCAGTCCACTGTGGGCTTTTTAAAGGCAGCTGAGATGAGCAGTTGTTAAACTCACCATGGACGTCTTTCTGGGCGATATTCTGCGTCCGTATGAGCGAAGACAGTCGTCGGACATCTCCCTTAAATACACATTCGTGCACCGGAAAGTCCTGCCCAGTTCGGATAATGGGGTTTTTGTTGTTGTCATCGATAACATCGGATGTTGACAGTGTGTTGGTGTTAGCATTAATCTGCGACTGTTGGTTCTGCTGCTGCTGCTGTTGTTGTTGTTGTGTGGATGAAGACTTGATTAACTTGTGGTTGCTGAAGATTTTACTCGCTCTGCTCTTGTTGTTCGTCCTGGAGGCTGTAAACGTCCCGGTCGCAGCCTCTTCGTCGGGCTCCAGTAAGTCCTCGTCTTTGCTCGGCCTGTGGTCCTTGCGCAGGGAGCGGACCTTCTCTCCGGTCATTTTCTAAACGGTCGACGCTGACGGAGCAGAGGGTGTCGTCGCTGACGATGACCCTCCGGGCGAACTGATGCGATTCGCCAGTTGGAAGTCTTCGCGCAAACACTGGAAACTGCACAACATGAAAACACTTACTTCTCCCACGGACACACAAAAACCACAGTTTGCTTGAGGACGAACAAGTAGCACCCCCCTCGTGCCGGTTTCTTATGAAAACAAACAGTCCACTCTCCTCCTACCGCCCCAAACTGTCGACGGCTGCAGTACAACATAAGCGGCTCCAGTTGACTAGTACGAACGCTTCGGCTGATATCTTCCGGCTCGTATTATCGCGAGAGTTTGGGAAAGGTTATTAACGGCCACTCACTGAAGCCGCTCCTATTTGATAAAAACACAGCCTACAGTAGTGTAAAATAAACACGTTTTCTATTATTTTACTCACGTATTTGAGTTGAGTCCAAATTTAAGAGCCATATATTTTACATTTTAATCTAAAATGACATCTAATATAGCTACACGAACACCAAAATCAAACTCCCACACACATCAACTTCCCATCAGCTTTGGCCTTGTAACTGAAAGCGTTCAGATTGCTCGCGAGTAACCAAATTCCTCAAAAAAAGAAAAAAAAAATCCCCTGAAAACTACAATTAATTCTCTCGTGCAAAGTCTTTCCTCGCTAATTCTGCCGAACTGGAGGTCGCAACTTATTTAAAATCTAAACATATTTTACTTTTATTATGTACTGTGCATGAAAGCACTGCATTCAAAAATATATCAACAAGGGAGTTACATTTCCTATGATTTTTTAAAACTTACACGACACATGGGAAGCAGCCATCAACACCCCTGCAGCTAACACAGTCTATCTCGTTTATCCCAACAATAATTATATATATTTTTTATGTACGTAACAAAAACTGTCTGCTGATAGGGGCTTGTCTTTTATTTTCATAAAAGCTGTGTGTACAGTACAGTGTACTTACCACCTCTTTATGCTAAATCATTCTAAAATATTGTTCTCTTTTGTTTTTGCAGAAAACAAAAACTTGGATGAAGAACAACATTTTGTAAAGTAATAATTTAACTGTGGAACTGTTATTTTTATTTAACACTGCACTGTTTGTTTGTAGAGTTACAAGAGTTACAAGCATGCTTGTTATTCATAAAAAAGGAGCCTATTGCACTCATTATTGGATTTTAAATTTTTATACTGTATTACTGTGTCTTCTGCATTTTATTAAGGTATTTTACCAGTGTGTAATCTGCCCATGTGATCTGCAATATATACTGAATAATAAATTCAACATAAAATATATTTTATTCAGTAAAATGTTAAGGTACTTTAATTTTTTTAAAGGTCATACTACAAAATACATCAATGTACATCGATGACAATAAAAGTTCTACATTTTAATGACCACATAGTACATCAGCTGAATGTTTTTATATGGAAGTGTTAATTTCAGCCACAGATCTCAGCTTTAAAACTTTAAAAGTTTAGTGCTGGAGATGGAAATCTTATGTGTATCACACTCTCTGTGGATCATCTGCATTGAATAGCTCGAATAAATAACCAGGAATATTGACTCTCAAATGAATCTATAGTGGAAGATCTATACTAAGAAGAACAGAAATAAACATGTATTTAAAATTACACCCAGATACCTCAGTGAATGCATTTCTTTATCACCACTGTAAGTAATTAGTTTATAATCTATTTCATGTTATCATTTAAAATGAAGTGTATGACCAAAAGCCTGAGTGAACAATGAACATTAATTCTTTCTGACAATGATGGACTCAGTGCTTCAGGAAAAAAGAAAGGTATTTAAAATACAAGAAATATGACAGATTCCGTTTCATAAATAGTCATAAATATACTTAGACAAAAGCAAAACAAAACACGACGGTCTCTAAGCCCTTATTTACAGAATTTCTGTTCAAACTGTAGTGAGTACTTTGCCAAAAAAAAAAAAAGGCCATAGCAGCAGCAGCTTGATTTATCCACAGTTTCCTAAAACAAAGGTGAGATCTTGTTTACAGTAGTCACAGTCACGTGAAGGTTTCATGTAACTGTGCATTCAAACTAAATACACCCTTTCTGCTTCCACGGGAATTATGCGAGTAAGTAGCAGCCAGATACTAATCAAATGGACTTGATTTACTGATTATCTGGAAGTGCAAAAGCAGAAGTTTTCACAGTTTGTGTCAAAACAATGCAACAGTCTTTCCAAGAGTGGATTTCCAGTTCAGACAGTGCAATGCTCAGAGAAACTGCCAAAAGCCCAAGACCTACTCTTCAGATTCTGCAGACTTCAGTACAATTAGAAGAAGACTGAACAAATATAACTTGTTTGGAAGTATTAACTTATGAATAAGAATTTCAGCATTCACAATTCCATGTATAAAATCTTTAATATTACTAGATAATAAGAAAAATACAAATGCATTTTAGCACAAGGCTTTTCTCAGTAGTTTTAATGCACATGTGGGCGCAGCCATCCACAAAACACTACCTAATCCTTAATAGGCAGGTGGTAACAATCAGGGGCGATTTTAGCCCAGTTTTGGAGGTGCTTCAGCACCCCCAAAATGAATCAAAGCAGGGGCGATTTTAGCCCAGTTTTGGAGGTGCTTCAGCACCCCCAAAATGAATCAAAGCACCCCCAAAGATGTCTTACTTTTTTTGAAAATATTTGCTGTTTGTGGGACACACTACTAAAA